CTGTTCTTTCTGGTTTACCTTCGGATGATCAATTTTAAATCTATTAATACGGACATTGCACTTCCTGCTCCCCACTTCATCCCCCTACTTCTAAATCCCCAGGATTTTCCTTTAAATTTTCCTCTCAAAATCTAGTCAGTGGACTTGCCTAGAGTAAATACTAGGGAAATTCTCATCAAAAAATATTCTTACTATAGAATGGCCAATACGTAATGGGTTTACCCCCTTTTACATTATGAAATAAAATAAGCTCATTTTCCCATTTATTCATATTTTCATCCTTTGCCCACCATCATCACCATTGGCATAAGGAGAGCTTAATAACATAACTTTGTCTCTGCAAAGATGAGATTCAATTTTGTATAATAACCAATGTATACTGGTTTTAAATGAGGGTCATTGCACAGAATATATTAGTCCACGGTCTATTTTTCAACTTATGATACATATTTTTTATTCAGCATTCAAAAGCATAAAACTCCCTACATGACGTAGCAAAGTTCTATTCAGTCCTCATGTTAGGTCAAATAAGCCACCCCTTGCATATGTCTCAGTAAAATTTTATACATGTATTGGAGCTACATGGCTGGCAGAAAAACAGACAGTTACTTCAAAACCACAAAGAAGTGGGAGCCCAAAGAATTCCTTTCTGCAATTCAATAAACAAGAGGAAAGATGTACTGTTTGCTGGCTCAAAATAGACACTAATTTTACATCTGTCTCTGAGGCACAGCAAAAAGCCAACTAAAGAGCAGTAATAAATGTCCAAAAACAGCATCAGTATCCAAAACTCTCCCAGTAATCTTCAGAGGAATTAATTACAATTCTGTGTAACAGTTGCATTGGCAAAATGCACCCATAATTACATACAGGTACTGTACTGTATTACAGAGAAATTTGCCATGTGATAGATACCATGTTTACATGATAATTGATGGATAAGATAAAACTATTTGCATATGAAGTGCATATGAATTATTGGCATGGTTCACCATTTTATGTGGAATCATATTAAAGTTTCATTTTCTCTAAAACTGTATGTGTAATATGGGGTTACCAAAGGGTATAAAGCTGATACTTAATTTTGCTTTATAGCAAATGGGCCTGGAAAGATATATCTGAATATGTATTACTAAAAACCTATACTTAAAAGGCTTCATAGTTTATCTATAATAAGCATTATTTTCACCTCACCAGATTATATTAAATCCTTTCTATTTTTCCTTCTAAGGAAACAATACTCTAAACTGTATCCACTATATCAATTAATTTTACAATCGTATGCAAAACAAATAATGGTTTCTCTTTAAAGTCTGTTGGTACAACTTTTTTTCTTCAGATTTTTGTATTCTAGTGACATGTAACAGAATAGTAGCAAAACGTGACATTTTTATAATGTCCATACCTGCTGGAAAATTTCAGCATTTGCAAAAATGGTCTATCATAGCATTTACACATTGCTGATAATTAGCTTGACATTTGAAATCCCAGAACTGTTGTTTTGAAGATGCCCTATACAATGTTACCTAACTAACCTCTTTTCATATTTGTATGCTTTCTCTACATTATTCTGTCAGTTACAGTACAAATAAGATATCAGTTGCTAATGTATTAACATGTGAAAGAACTGATGTTAAGGGACGATGGTGCTTCATCTTCACCAGAAGCGGCAGTTTTATTGATGTAAAGGAAAATTATATATGTGGATTAGAGACAGTTAATTGTTAATAAGGCAGCCAATACTGATTTCCTATAACTCCACTCAAGCTAAGTACGCCAATAAGTCTTTCAACACCATCATCAAACATTTATTGAGTAGCTCCAATGTGGTAAGTGCAGAGGATACACAGATATGCTATTCTCACCTCAGGAAGCTTACTATCTATTTGGAGACATAGAATCATAAAACTGTAGTGCTAAGAGGCACTTGAAGTCAACCCTTGACATGTGACCAAGGAGGTATACAGGCACAGTGAGGTCAAGTGACTTGACGATGGCCCTGTAGCCACTTGGTGGCAAAGCCAGAGCTACAAGGCACATCTTTCAGCATACAACAGCCACACAAAAAGATACCTAATAATACAAATTCCCAGTGAAGAATGCAATCTAAATTTAAATTCCACGTTGGTCAAAGTAAGGGAATGAAAATCCCGGGGACTTCTGGGGATTCTCATGCCGCAAAATGGAGATCGTTGCTTAATTTTAAATTGTTCTGATGATTGCTACCCTCATGGATCCCCTTAATTTGAGTTACAGAAGCCTACCAATTTGATCAATTACTAGAATCTAACAATACACCCATGTTTCCCACAATAGTTTGGAAACAATAGCAATAAAAAGTCAGTTCTGAGAATTATGAGCTTGAAGATCTGTGTTCTTGTCCCAGTCCTAACATATAACCAGCTGTGTGGCCTGGTCTATCAACCAATTAGACTTGATACAAATGGGTAAAAATAATAATGGATTTCCTGTCTATCAGATTGCCACAAGGAGCTTATGA